TTAAATTAAATTGTTATCTGAAGAACCCTAATTTCCAAAATTGAAGCTGCAACGTGCTCTACTCTGCTCTGAGGAAGAACCCTAGAAGACAATTGCTCAGTTTAGAAGACCACTCCATGTCGACCGGTTCCAATTTATATAGGAAGATAAGTTCAGCAGCAACATTCCCGAGTTCAGCAAATCCAGAATTAGAATGTAAACATAGGGTTGAGCCCAATCTTCTTACCTTTCATACTGATCTGAATCCGGCTAGGAGGTACTACCGGTGCAAATATCGAATAGTAAGTGAAGTGCAGAGAGAATCGGGGAGCGGAGATGATTTTAGGGTTTCACAATGAAAATTGATTGCAATTTTTCCTATTTAAATCGACGCGTAAAACGAAAACGACGTCGTTTGAGGATGACGTGGAAACGTGGAAAACAGAATTCGAACTTAAAGACGTCCAACGTTACGATGTTGTTCCAGTGATGAGATGAAAAAAAAATAGTCTGATAAATATACATCAGCATACGAGTTGACAGCAGACGAAAAGTATGTACCATTTTGAAAAAAAATGAAGGATGTGATATCGTATGTGTTGACGAGTGTTTTCGGTCAACGGTTAAGATTAAGTGAATGAAAAGTACAGGACTGAGAATGAGGCCAGGATAAGATTTAATTATAGGTTTTTATTAAACGATCACGTGGTCGGCCTCTCGTACGAGGTCGGCTCCTGTGATATTCTTACAGTTCTTACAATCCTTAGAATATTAGAGAGAGAAAGTAAAGGAAAGCTTGAGTTAGTTGTGAAATCAACAACCCCAAAATAAATGAGGTGGGCTGCTATTTATAGTACTCTTAAATGAGGAACTGTTCACCGGTCTTGTCGTACAGTAGACTTGCAGAGCAGTTCGGCGCCTCCCTGACAGTTCATTAATGCGATTTGAGGTTTTCCCAATCATTGCTTACTAAGCATTAAATGCGGGCATGGGCAGCATTTAATGCTGACTGAACGACTGTGACATGCTGTCCCATCAACCAATGATGATCTTCCAAGTGGTGAATATTTAATGACGATCAGATCGGCGCCATTCTTTAGCAGGGCGGCTCTGACCTGTTCAGGTCGGCTCCTTCTCTTCGAAAGCACGCGTATCCCAGGCGAACTTCTTTCCAGCTCGGCGCCGGAGTGAGACCGGCTCGGCCCCCACGGATTCAGGTGCCGAGCTCGGGAAGCGTTTCCTTCGACCCGTCCTACACATAATTTATCGATTCGGGTCGGCCCCCGCGAGTTCGGTCCCGCTCGGTTCGGGGGGGGCCGACCTACTCGATCTTGGCCTGACCGATCCGGATGTCAACAGTATGCAAAGGTTAAAAGGTCGTGATTATTTTGCAATGTCGATAAAGGTCGTGATATTATATGCAATTTTGCCTATTATAAAATGAATAAAGTGAGTGTATTGTTAAGATTCATCTAAGTATCTAACCAATATATCTCAGCATCATATTTTTGATACAATGTTGTTAATATTTAAGTTGTTGTCTAATTCCATGAAAACTGATACGTAATTTACACTTAACAATATAATTTTAATTGATGTTCAACCCATTGATGGAGAAGTTTTTTTTTGTGATGGACAAGCTTTTGGCTGAGAATGTAGAGAACATAAAAAGAAGATTTATGAGACACGTCTTTAGCTTTGAAACTTGTCTATTTTCTTGTGGCTAACATGCCATTTTTATTTATTTATACGATTTTTGGCAATATGAATATAGTAGAGTTGGAAAAGAGCCAAACTGAGTCGAGCATTAGTTGTATCTAGCGGAGTTTTTTATTATTTTTTTTCTTGTATGAGCTCGAGCTCGATTTTTTATGTGTTGGCTCGAATCGTAAAAATTGTACAAATACTCAAGATCGTTTGTGTAAGAAACGGGAGGGAACGGGTGCGGTCCCACGCAGATGAAGCGCACTAACAAAGTATGTCCAGATGAAGTCCAAGTGAGGTTATATCCCAAAACTAACCGGGAATGAAGCGCATTAACAAGGAAAGCCCAAATGAAGCCCAGATGAATCCCAAGTGATTCTATCCCGAAACGAATTGGTCCCAAAACCAATTGGTGGAATGAGGAGTAGTTTACTAGACTTATAAATTAGGCCTATTAACCAATTGGAGGATGAGTAACTCACTAGACTTCTAAATTAGGCATATTTTTCCTATATAAATGATGTGGAACAACTCACATCACAAGTGAATATTCTAATACGTCCCATCACATGTGAATCCTTCATAAGAAGCTCAAGTAAAGTTCCATCTCAAAGCCAATTGGTGGAAGGAGGAGTAACCCACTAGATTTATAAATTAGACTTATTTTCCCTATATAAACCATGTGGGACAACACACAAGTGAATATTCTAATAGTTGGAAAATCGGTCGAATTTCATTAGCTCGAATTTCCAATAAAAGTTTTTACTCATAAGATTTTACGTTGAAGTTCTGCTCGAATTTTGCTCTAGTAAGGGTTATTTAGGTTAAGTAAACTTAAGGTTGTTCGGCTTGATTCAAGTTCGAGGTGCTCGAACTCGAGCTCAAGCGTTCACACGAGCCGCTCGATTTCTTCAAAGCCATAAATATGACACATTGACACAGTGAAACCAACACCTTTGATAAATAGCATCTGGATGGTTTTTTTCATCAGAGGTTGTAATGGAGAGAATTGAAAATTGCAAAAAAAGAAATAATACACAAACACAATAAATTCAAATTGATTTTGTTATTTTATTATTCAACTTTACACCAATTTTCACATAAATCAAATTCTAAACTCCAGTGTTCACTGTTCATTCCTACATACAAATAACGGCCAAATTTGATTTTTGGTCTATTATATTGGTCATTTTCCAAAAATGGACCACTAATTTGACGGACATCAAACTTGATACAATAAGTTGTAGAGTTCATCATTTTTGGTTCATTAATCACTTGGGAGCCTACGTGGCAGACAGTAAACTTGTCCACGTATTCGCCCGATAAAACGCCACGTATGCTTATGGACCAAAAATGATGAATTTTATAACTTATTGTATCAGGTTTGATGTCTGCCAAATTAGTGGACCATTTCAAGAAAATAACCAACATAATGGACCAAAAATAAAATTTTGCCTACAAA